ATTAAATCCGTACCTTAAGCAGCTTGGGATCACATCTGAAATGAGCCATTTCCTTTGGCTGGAGTGAATAAATAAATTGGATGATGGCTGAGTTGCAGCTCTCTAGAAAGAAGAGGCTTCCTAGGCCTTATTGGGATAACTCAGTAATTGCAGTCAATAATGTCATTGATTGATGAATGACTTAAATACTTTAATTTTCCCCCCCTCACTTTTTTTTCCCCCTCGTACACTGAACGGTATTTTGAATTTGCTGTTGCTGCTGGCTTGAAACACAAATACAGCAGTGCAGAGAAGGATGTCAGAAATGCTCTCAGCAGCTGAAGGGGAGAGATTGGTTGTGGTTTTTTAAATTGAGTTGTGACTCAGTTGGTTTTTTTCACTTCTGGAAAGTCAGAGCTCGACCCCAAACTACCCTTTACCAGTCCGTGTTGTTCCACCTCTTCTTACTCCCTCAGCCTTTATCTCCTTCTCCATGCAAAACATTGTGCATCCAACAGCAAAATCCCTTTATCTTCCCACAAAAATTTGCTGCTGATTACAAGAATATTGCCTGAATTTTGGAAAGGGACCCAGAGCAGCTGCAGAACAGAAAACGCTCCTCAGTTAAACCTGAGCAGACAGAACCTGAAATGGTCAGCTCTGAATGACTTGATTTTTATTTGCTTTCTCTCCCTGTTCCAGAACATTCCACACTTTATCAGTGGCATATTGAAGATTGGCAATGGGATAGAAAATGTGAGTTTTTCTGGTTGTTTTATTTAAGATTCCCAAGCAGTGGTACCAGTTCAATCTGTGCATGGCAGAGGAAGAGTGTGGTTTGGAAACCTGCTGATCCACCTTTGTCCCCAAATTGAACCCAGAACAGAAGTATACTTTTACATTTTTCACCTGGTAAACTTTGGGAAAGTCCTTAATTTCCCTTTTTTCATCAGTTTTTTTTTTTTTTTTTTCCCACTTGCTGGTATCTGTTGCCTGCCCTGTGTGAGCTGCCAAAGCTAAAATAAAAAGATAATATAAAAATAAAAACAAAAGGAATAAAACACAAACACAGAAAATAAAAATCTATAAATATAAAAAATATATAAATAAAGACCAGAATACAGTCTCACAACAGGACAAACAGTGTAAATACAACTCTGTGTCACCCACAGTTGCTGTATTTTGGGTGACATTTGCCTCTCAAGTCCTGTGGGTTTTGATCTTATTTTTCAGCAGTCATCAGCAAGAAGCTTCTAAATCAAATCCCAGGGGGTTTTATATTATTTTGTCAAGAATTTCAGCCCTCAAAAAGATGTTTTTGAATTAAATGATGCTAACATTTGAATGCCTCCCCTGCCTCCTGTGGCACGAGCGACCCGTTGAATTTTGTGGCTGGGCTGTGCTTGGGGTACCCAGGTATTTGTGAGCTGTTCTCTGTTTATCTTCCTTCTTTTTTTTTTTGTTTTGTTTTGGTTTGTTTTTTTCCCATGGAAATAGGGTTTCTTTCAGCTGGAGGAGGCCCTGGATTGGATCAGATGTGTGGGTGATGCCAACATCATGAAGGGCCTGGAGGAGCTGGGGGATTTTGGCCGCCTTAAACTCGTAGCCCTTTTTACTCAGTGTAAGTTTGGAACCCCCTCCCCCCCAGGGAACAGAGCTGGGGAAAGCCATTTACTGTCAGTGACTGTGCAGCACTTCTTGCTCTTGTGTCTGTCATTTTGGGCTTACTCAAGAATAATTATTATAAGGATTCTTGGGGGCAGGTGATAAACCCTTTGTGTCTTGGGTGACTCTTCCCCCCGCTGTCATTCTCTGGATTTTTTTGTCACCAGGGGAACGTTCCATCACTAAAGTCGCGTTGGAAGGTTGTGATTTAGTTGAAGAATTGAAAGCTCTGACCTGTGAGAGCTCCAGGAAGGTGAGAGAAGCTTTCAGAGAGTGGGTTTTGTGCTCTTTTTTTTCAGTTGTTTTTGGGAGTGGGGTTTCTAATGATCAAGGCTTATAAAAATGCCCAAATGATTAAAGATAAAAGCCTCAAAAGCTTGATGAGTCATTGCCCTGACGTAAATAATTGTCTTTGCTTCTCACTGTTGAATTAAATGAGTTTAGTCTCAGCTTCTGAATTTGTTTTTTCTTGGTTTTTCACAGGACAGTGAGTTGATGAAACAGAAAGGAAATGATGAATTTTCCCGCCGAGCCTTCGTTTCTGCAATAATCTCATATACCAGGGCCATAGAGCTTTGGTAAGAACTGAACTGGTTAACTAGGTTGTGTTTTATATATATATATATATATTTATTCAGCTTCTTCAGGTTTATCCTCACTTCTTATGGCTTTGCTTGAGCCACTCTACTCAGAGGCCAAATGATACCTCATAGGAAAAAAAAAAACGCATTTTTCATTCTATTTTGTTTCCCATTATTAGTGATTTGTGGTTGTGCTTTGGTTACTCCAATCAAAAGGGTTTAAAGCTGATCTGAAGTGACTTAACAGCAAGTAAACCTGCAAGGAAATAAGCTCTTTAGAACAACCACTTTGGGTGTTGTCTCCCCGAATATTCTTCCAGCAGAACAATGTGGCCAAGTGTTGCAGATAATCAATCACCTCAGCCCTGATGCAGGAGGAATAAACAAGAACAAATATTTGAAGTGTCTGCTCCTGGCAACTCTTAGGCTTGTTTTTTGTTTTTTTTTTTTTTAAAGCCTTGTTTAGTTTCTTCTCAAAAGGAATTTGCTGGAAGGGGGGGGTAGAGATCAAATGAGAATTTTTCATGAGAGCATTTATAGAGCAGTTTTTCCCCTTCCAGGGGTCAGCAGGGTTGGTGTATTCACTGCTTGTATTATAATCCTGCAAATGCTGCTTTGGTACCTTCTGGTGTGTGTGAAATACTGGGAAATAACCAAAACCCCCACCAGGTTGTTCAGACTGTTTGGGGTTCTCAGGCTGAGGCCTGGAGCTTTATAACTGTGCAGCTGGAAGGATCAGCACTTTGCTGATGTCTTGCTCCAGGTTTTTTATGTCTGTTAAGGAGATTTCTCTGCCTGGGGTTTCCCACAGCAGAGTCCCAGACATCTGATCTCAGGGAGTGATAGTTTATCAGGAACAGCTCGAGCTTGGGGCCTCCAGGAGGGGCTCAGACCAAAGGAATCCTTTACAGACCAGGGTCTTTTCGAGTCTGGAGTCTCCTAACACCTTCTTGGACTCTTTAATTTAATTTAATTTTAAATTAATTTAATTAATTTAAAGCTCCCCTTCCCTCAGGTTTGAGCAGGGCCCACTCAAACCCACTTGTGCGCAGTTAAACTTCACATCATCACCCCATTTCTGATACTCTCTGAGTAACCTTATTTTAATCTCGCGGGGCAAGAATACCTTTTGGTCCCAAATTCCAGCTGATTTCAGCCTTTTCCCAGTCAGCTGAGTTAAGGCTGACTGGTGTCCAGTGACTCAGGGGGGGAGCAAACCGAGAAGGGCTTTGCTGGAGAAAGGGGAGGGAGGAGCAGAATCCAGGCGGGAGAGCGAAGGAAATCCCGTGGCTGGTAAAGAACAGAGGAAGTCCCGTCATTTCCAGGCACTGGAGAGCTCAGAATTACTTGAATTTGCTTGGAAGTTGCATCAGTGGGCCCCAAACGTTACCAATTATTGCACAATTAAGGTGAACATCCTCAGTGGTTTCACTTGTAAATCTGGGAGGGGTTGAGGAAGCTGCTGTGTGTGGTTGGTGTGGAAAATCCACTCTTTTTTTTTTTCTTTGTTTTTTCTTTTCTCCTGAGGCTTTTCAAAAGTAATCTGTGCTTCTAACTCTCCAAAATGTTTATTTTTTTTTTTTTTTAAGCCGTACAAACCACCTCCTGTATGGAAACAGAGCTCTCTGCTTTATCCTCACAGGAGACTATGGGTAAGTAAATCCTTTATCCCCCTGAAAGGTGGGGGATCTGCAGTTAGAAATGGGCACCACGAAGAAGAAAAGAGTATTTTAAAAGCTGAAATAGAGAGTTATTCGTGACTCTGTGACTGGAGTTGCATGTGGTTATGGTTATATGTGTCATTTGTTATTTGTGTTTTTATGGTGCCTGGGACACCAGCCTGCAGATTTTCCCAAAGTACAAACAATAAACTCCTTTTCTTTTTTCCTCCAAGGAGAGCTGTTGCTGATGGGAAGAGAGCCATTATTTTGAAGCCTGATTGGCCAAAGGTGAGTTCCATGTTTAAAAAAAAAAAAAAAAAAAAAAAAAAAAGGAGATCTCATTTCAAGATTGTCTTTTGTTGGGGTTGTAAATCAAGATGAAAACCCAGGGGTGGCTTTTAATGACAGAGGAATTCAAAGGACTGAGAGTTCTGCCTCAGTCAGCCAAGTACAGTTTGTATATTTATATCACAAGCAGGTCAAAATAACATTTTTAAGCGTTGTTCCAAGGTGTTCTGCGTGTTTACAGGCAGAAGAAAACGTTTATTTCGTCGCGCATGGCTGTGTTATCACCTGTTGGAAAGGAACACTTGCAGTCCTTACAATAAAAAAAAACCCATGATTGATGGATTTCCCAATTCTCTTGGCCTGAAGAAGAGCAAATAATGGATTAAAAGTAACTGTTGAGAACAGGGGAAAAAAGCAAATTTGCTCTTTCCCAGAGCCAGATGTTGCAAACTGCTCCACTGGAGAGCAGTTAGACAAAATCTCACTTTTTTTTTTTTTTTTTTTTTTTAACTGTAATTTTTTGGACTTTTAACCTGTGTGAAAAAAAAAAATAAAAAAGCTTGAAATTCTGATTCCTGTCCCTGTAGGGTCACCACCACTTCTGCAAGGCCCTGTCCTTGCTGGGGAGGCACCAGCAGGCCCTGGAGGCCAACGAGAGGGCTCAGGAGCTCTGCAGGAACGGCCCCGAGGGGCTCAAGGAGCTCGTCCAGCAGCATCAGCAGCTGAAAAAGGAGTGGGAAGAAATGAATGGTATTTTATTTTATTGGTTTTTTTTGATTTTGAGATCTGCCTTCAGCACAGCAAAATTCCTTTGGGGGTGATTTTCCTTTTAAACCACTTATTTTTAGTGTTTTTTTTTTTAATTCTCCTTTCTTGTGTAATTTTCCACAGGTCCCAAACAACGTAAGCAGAAGGCAAAGAGGTCTCTGCTGGAGAAAAAGTGAGCAATTGTTCATGTTTCCTTCTTTTAATTGGCAGGTCTCAATGCAGTATTGATATAATTAGTAATAGAACAATATTAATAATAGACAGCAATAAAATATTAAAAAAATTATAATAGTAATCACGCTCAATGCTTAACATCATTTAAGCAATGCATAGCAAAAAGTAGATATCAATATATAAATATATATATCAATAAGTGATATCTATCAATAGATGGATTGATATCTATCAATAAATAAAACTGGAAGGATTAAATTCATCCCAACTGCAACCAGTTCTGATAACCCTGATAGAGGCCTCCTGGGAACTAAATAAACCATCCTGAATGTCTAAGCAGCAGGTGGTTATTGATTTGCGTTATTAGATATTTAATTTTTTAAAAATACAAATGTAATTCAATTCCTGTCCCTTTTGCAGAAAACAGTGCTGTTTTTTTGTTGTTGTTGTTGTTGTTGTTGTTGTTGTTTTGTTGCTGTATTTTTGCTCAGCTTCGGGCTGTGTAATTTGATTTCTCATACCTTCAAATTACACATATTCATGAAAAGATCATATCTTTTAAATGTGCTGGTGGAATTGCACTTCTGTGAGGGGCAGACTTGTTGGATTAATCCCTTTTTTTTTTCTTTTATGTGACACGTTTGGAATGTGCCTTAAATATGGAGAAAAGGAGTAAGAATTCTCTCTTTTTTTATGTATCAGAGACTGCAGTTCTTCAAAATCTCACGGAATGACCTCTCAGGGGCAAAAAGAAATAGAAAAAAACAGAAAGAGAGCACAGGCTGATGCCAAAGGTCCTCAAAAACAGGATGCCAAGGTGAGTTGTGCTGGAATTGCAGGATTAGCAAGTGCCTTGGTTTCTCTCACCCGCCTGGAACGTGTTCCTGGCACTGGGTTTTAGCAATTGTTCACTTTCCCTGTGATGTTTGGCTGCCAAATCTGTGCTCAGAACTCGGGATTTCCAGGAGCTGACAGGTGTCCTGCCTCTTACACTCGTTATTAATTTACAGAGGCATTTGGACTCTATCACTGTTATTTTAAAATAACAAATTGTTACAATTTCACCTCCGAAGTGGGTTATTAAAAATAAGCTAAGTAATGTAGAGAACGGTGATGATAAATCATCTGAATTAACAGCAAGACCCAAACAATTTAACACACACACACACACGTGAAAAAAAACCTGTATTTTTTCAGAGGAGAGGTGGGCAGGGCCTGATGACGTGAGAGTGGGGAAAACGAAACCAAAGCAGGAGGGCAGAGGGCAGGAAATGAAAGCTGGAGCCTGTTGGCAGAGAAAAGGAGCTGCAGAAAGCACCAGGAGTGCTCAAAGTGCTTTAGGAATTTTTTTTTGGGGGGGGGGGAGAAGGGTTTATTGTCTCACAAGAGCTTTCATCTGCTTGCATGCCACGAAAACCTTTGTAAATGTAGGTCTGTAAACTCGTTTGTCTTCCTTTAGGGTGAGCATTTCTGTGAAAAAAGACTTGCAGATGATATTAAATTGATACAGATTTTGAGGGGGGAGGAATCTAAACTGCACAACTGCACTTTGAATAATGAAATTACTTGTCTTTGCCTCTTGATTTGGGGCCATAATTTAGCACGTTATCACTGGGGGTTTCTCTGCTTAAATGGTGGTTCTCGAGGGTTTTTTTCCCCTTTGCTTAAATCCAGTGGGTGAGATGGGTTTGGGTTTTGTTCTCTGATGTGTTTGCCGTTTAGGTGACTGACACCCAAAGACCAGAGAGCAAAGTTTCCACGCTGGAGTTGCCACAGAGTGAGTTTATTTTTATTCTTTTATCGAGTCTTGAGTCGTTTCTTCCTCTGCTGTTGCCGTAATTAATAACCCAGGGAGCATCTGACACGATTTTCACAACAGGAAGGGATGATGTCTCACTTCTTTTCCTGTTACTCAGATGCTTCTTCTCTTCTCTATTTCTGTCCTGATTCCCTCCTGCCTTTGCAGTTTGAATCTCCTCGATGTGGTTGAATTCAAAACTGAAACTGGAACTAAAAAGTGACCCCTGAGTCACAGGCTTAGGAATGCTTTCCCTCCTCCTGAGACAGCTTTGGGATCTAAGGGGAATCTAACTTTAAGAGGAGTCTGTGGGTAGTTTCAGTATTTACGGTTCATAGTTGGTGTGGTTTAATTGTTTATGTTTGGGTTTTTCAGTGGATAAATCACTTTATAGAGGGAATTCCAACCCCCCCTCCCCCAAAAAACTCCCACGGTGCCAGAGTTTCACTTGTCTGGACTGAAAGTGAAGTGCAAGAAGCTCTGAGCTTCAAAGTGAAATCTTTTCCTAGATTTTTTTTCCTTGGGGTTTTTATCACCTGCTCTGGCTTTCCCAGAGATATTGTGGGTGTCCCTGGATCCCTGGAAGTGTCCAAGGCCAGGCTGGACAGGGCTTGGAGCATCCTGGGCTGGTGGAAGGTGTCCCTGCCCGTGACAGGGGGTGGCACTGGGTGATTTTAAAGGTTCCTTCCAACCCAAACCACTCTCTGACTGTGAAGAAACCACGAAGTGCTGAAGGAACTTGATGCCAAAAGCATGAACTGGGGAAGGTTCTCGGAAAGGGGAAGTCAAGCTCTGGAAGACAAACCGGTTTTGGGGATGGTGGGAAGGAGCGAAGTGAGAGGTGGCACACGGGAGTTTTTGGGAAGGGGGGGGTTGAAGTGACCAGTGAATCCAGACATTTTGCTGAGCAAGAAGGTGTGGCCTGAATGCTGATGGAACCTGAGAACACGTTCTGAACCAGAGGTTTATTGAGGCAGTGGAAAAGATGAGCAGCGAGGTTTCGGGACCCGCCCACTCAGTGATAAGCAGGGACTGGAAGTGATTCCCTGGCTCCAGGGCACTCCAGGGACAGTTGGAGTTCTGCTCACCTGGCAGCAAGACCAGATCATACCAGTGCCTTTGGAATGTGGCAAGAGAGAGAGAGAGACCTGTGCATCCCCTTGGCTCCAGCAGCAATTTGGAGATTTGGGAGAGTCCCTTTGCTTTCTGAATTCCTTCTTCAGGACGAGTCTGGGTGCAGCTGGATCCAGTCTTAGGGACAGACCTGGTTTAAGGGTTTATAGAGGTGCAGTTGATCCTCTATACAACTTTGTCCCTCAGGATTAAGGATGGCAAACCAGATTTATTTGCACAGGTAATATAAATCCTATAAATAATTTCAGTTGATGGTGGTGGTGATTAGACTAAAGGGCTTGAATCAGAGTTATCTGCTACACACTGTAAGTGGTTGTAACTGCTGTTTTTTTAATTAAATCAACAAAAGCTAGCCTAATGATTGCTGTTTTTCAGCCTGGAGAAGAGAAGGCTCCCAGGAGACCTTCCAGTGCCTAAAAGGGGATTAACAGAAAGCTGGAGAGGGACTTTCCATAGGGGCAGGTAGTGGTGGGACAAGGGGGAATGAATGACCTTGAGCTGGAGCAGGGCAGGGTTGGATCGGATATTGGGAAAAAATTCTTTCCTGTGTGGATGGAGAGGCAGCAGGACAGGTTGCCCAGGGAGTGTGGGGAAGGGGCAAGTGTGGCAGAAGGGATGGCTGGATTTTAGAGGAACTGAGGAGGGAAGAGGGAACTCAAGAGATCAGAGGTCTGTGCAACGTGTTGAGCGTAGTGATTTCAGAAAACTCCTGTGCGTTCTGCGTTTGTTTTTTATTTTATTTTTTTTTCCCATTTTGATTGCTTTATTTTCATTTTCTGTTTTTTTCCTTTCTCCTCCCCCCTCGTTATGGGGAACAAACCGGTTGATTTGAAGGGAGGAGTCAGCTCCCAGGGACTGCCTGATCCGAGGCTGCTGGGGGTGGGAACAGCCACAGCCTTTTCTTTTCTTTGCCTTTGTTCACGTAAAGGCTTTAAGACTTGCAGGAGTTTTAATGGAAGGGAACTTGATGGCACATTATCTTGTCTTAAAGTTACTGAGTTTTTTAACTCATTTTTCAATTTATTTCGTGCTCTCTGTCTTCATGATGTGCCTTTTGGATCATGTGTATATTTATGTCAAATATCTCTGGTCCCTCCTAATGGAAAGTTCTAGTGAAAGTAATACAGCTAATATTTTTAAATTTTTATGGGGTAAGTAAATCGTGTTTGCTGTTGAATTGATGTATCTCTCCTGAAGTGTTTTAACTATAAGTTACCTTTTATTGAGAAGTTTTTTTTTCACTTAATCTGAAAGTAGGATTTAAGTTGGGTGTTCTGTGGGAGGAGTTGTTTCTGTGGGAAATGTTTCTGGTATAATTTTTTTGTTGAATGGCTTTTAAAATTATTAGACCATTCAAGGAAAAAAAGAGTGTAGGTTAATTTCTTCTTTCGGTGGTGAGGGGGTTTCTTTTGCCTCCCTGAAGGTTCTGTTGTGAATGGCAGATTGGTTCCTTATGTATAATGAAGAAAAAGTGGCAAATCTCTACCTCTAAACGGTGCAATGATGAGATGCTGGAAGTGTTTCCTGGCTTTCCAAAGGATTATTGTTTTCCATCCTTTAAATATCTCCGTGATGAGGCATTTCTGGTGATTATTAGCGTAGCTTTGGGGTTTTCATGGGTCTGAACCGACACCTCTTGGAGAAACGGTTCACAGGACAGGTCTGAACATGCCCGGCCTTTGTGAGCCTTGAGTTTTGTTCTGATTCATTGACATTTCGTGTCATTAAATATTTTTTTAATGAGCAATGACTTCTGGCACGAGGTTATTAAGGTGTGCACGCATTTGGTTTAACTTGAGGAATGATCCCGTGAGAGGGGGAGGAATGATCCCTCTGGCTGGAGGGAGGTCCCCTCGGGATGGGTGGGTTCGTGCTTTTCCACGGTGTCTCCCAGGATTTTGTGCCCCCTGATTTAAAACCCTTCTCTGAGCATCATTAAATAAGCTTTTTTTTCTTTTCCGATGCTAAGACTTTATGTGTGAAATTAAGAGCTCCTTTATCCCCACGCTGGAGTTTGTGGTAGTTTGGCAGAAGCGTCATAATGAGCGGGGGAAGATTGAAGGATTTAGGGGAGCCGCACCTCATTTTTTGGGTTCCAGGGGCTTGAAAAGCTTGACCCCAAACTCCTGCCCGGGTGGCTGAGTCCAATGTGAGGAACATCTGGGTGTCTTCTCACCGCTGGGACTTGAAATTGTTGAAAATTAAAAACCCTCCCGAGTCAACACGGGCACAAGTCGGTGCCTGATGTGTGGGGGGTTCGGATTCCACGGGAAACGCCGGAGAGGGAATTTTGGAGTTGCTGGTGTGGCCTCCTGGGTGTGACTGTCACAACAGAGAACTGAACCCTGTTTTCCACCTGGTTGCTCAGGGACTGTTTGCTCAGTAACAAAGTTGTGGAGGCGTAAATTCCGTGTCGGGACTCGGGACGGGAAGTCCCGGGGGTTGGAAGTGGAGCCGCATCCCGGGATCAACCCCCTGTCCCGTCTGTGGGATCCGGCATTTCCAAACGCACCGATTTTGGAACCAGGGGGCACCTCCCTCTGTTTACACATCTTTTTGCCTTTCTGAGGTTGAACTTCAGCTCTTGCGGTTTCGGAGCTGCGAATTCTTCCTCGTGAAAATTCCACCACTCCCCGTGGAACTTGGACTTCCACAGGGATCCGTCACCCCCCGCAAAAATTTGGGACTAATAAATAATAATATCAGCTCCAGTTCTGGAGAACAGGCTGATTTCTTTAGCTTGGAGTGTAATAGTTGGGATATTGTGGAGTCAGGTCGTGCCTTGCAGAATTTTAATTTTATTCTGTTTATCTGGAGTGTCCTTCCCCCTTTCTGGGTTTAATAAAATCCGACACTGCCTAACAAAAAATATCAAATTCATAGGATGATGCTCAGGGGTGGCTTTTAGAAAAAAAACTTATTGGTCGTCTCAGTTTTCAACACTGTCAATTTTTATCATCGGTTTGGAAAGGAAAAACGTGAGTTCCAAGTGCCCCTTTTTTTTTTTTTTTAAATATTTTAGGTGATGATCATCTTGTTTAAAACCCTTTTTCTCATTACAGACCAAAGTCATCAAAATAAAAGAAGGCAAAAACCCAAACCTGGTGACTCTGAAAAAATGAGGTAAAAAAATTACTATTTATTTTGAAATTTGTTATTACTTTGAGTTATTTTATGTAGCACTTAGAAAAGACTTAATGTCCCTTTGGACTTGCTGCTTTTTTGTGGTTTTTTTTTTTTTACATACTGGTAGCTGGGGGAAGTTCCCAAAATTCCAGTTTTCACAAAAAACTAGAGTTACTACTTGAAAATTAAATATTTTCCACAGCTGAGTTGAATTTAATCAATGAATAACTTTCACTTAGACTTTTAGTTGTTTGCAGGCTTGAATTTCCACTTCATTCAATAATTTCACTTAAATCAATACCTAATTTTAAGCACAGAAATACTCCCTGTATGGGGCATGCTGAGTGTAAATGAGCGTGTTTTGTGGTTTAGGACCAAAATTAAATTAGTTGAGATAAAAAGCACTAATAGATATTTACTTTGAAATAGGAAAACTTGTATTAAGTGATAATTTTTCCAGGCAGATTTCTCATGTAGGAGAGTCCAAGCCTTCAGGAAAGCTGATTATTCCCAATCTTAATCGAAGTGTGACCACAAATTCAGCTGATTTTTAATCTGTGATTTTTAATTTATTACAGTACAATCCCATAAAACTCACACTGTTTCTTGAAAATAAATTTATGTTCCAAGGATATTTATAAACTCCTGTCTTTTGTAGGGATCACCTTGATTTGAAGAGGGAGTCTAAAGCCGTGGAAGATAAAAACCTCTGCCCTGTGCCACAGGTGACTGGAAATTCAGTGGGATGTGACCTGAAATCGGAATTATTTGGCACCTTTCGCTAACCACGTGCAAAATCTCGGTTTATTCCTGGATTTAACACTTTGTGCTGAGCGTGGCTTTGGTCAGGAGGCAAAAATCGCGTGGTTACACTGATTTATTGTTGTCTTGTTGCTTCTCCTCCTGTAATTAGTGCAACAAAACTCAGTCGAGTCTTGGACTGACTCAGCTAAAACCAGGAGTTTGCAGCTCCCCCGGCTCCTCATTTGGAAGAAAAAAGGACAAAGTTTACTGGGAATCATTCAGGGATCTCTGATTTTTTTGGCGGGATGTAGGCACCAAAAATCTCCACTCTGATTAATCACCTCACGAGACAAAACTGGACTCAGGAGAAGCTTCAAGTTCTACCTGCACCAAGACATTTTATTTTCTTCCAAATACCCATTTTTGTTTTGCCAATTCATTACCAGTATCAAAAGGAGCATTTTAATTGGCTTAATCTGCTTTTTATGTGGTGTGGCTTGGCATTAAATTAATATAGTTCTGTTTTACGACTTTGTGCTCCATCAGCATTAAGCCAGTAGTCCTGGGAAGTTAAAATCAGTGTTAATTATTTAAATCTCCCTGCTGGAAATTCCTGCAGGCTCCAGGAATTATCAGGAGTTAAAACAAAATAACAGAATCAACTCTGAGCAGTCTTTGCCAAAGACATTTGTGGACAAACTAGGAGTGTAAAAGTGAGGGGAAAGCAGAAGTCTGGGTCGTGATTTTGGTTTTTTTGGTTTTATATTTTAATGTGTAAGCAAAATTAAAACGATGCTTGAACTTAATTTGAAGCTTTGTGGAGGGGAAAGGATCTGAATTTAGAAGAAAATCTGGATTTTTGTGGTTTTTTTTAAGGGATTAGCAGCAGGAGGACCATGGAAATCTTAGAGATTTTAGAAGTAAAATTAAAAGTTTTGTGAAAACGGAACCGATTTGCTGCTCTGACAGTGGAATTGTGGGAGAACTGTAGGAAATAGAGAATTTCCAGTTGTCCCTTGGATAAGTTTTGCTTTGAAAAAAAAAGGAAAAGGAGGGGAAAAAAAAAAAGGGAAATGCTGCTTTCCTTCGGACTTACTGCCTCCCTAAATATTGCAGATGGATTTCAGTGCAGAGGACGTTAAAACCCCCAGGAACAAGGGATTTACAGCCTCCAGGGACGAGTGTGCCGGTGATAAACCCACCCCTCTACCCCTGCTGAGAGCTGTGGATGCTGCAGAACGTCAGGTAAGCTGGGAGGAATCATAAGGATTGACCTGAATAATTGGAGTTTGTGCATCCAGCACCCTGTTTGCCTCTCTGCTTTCCACCAAAGTTGTGTTTATTATTGAGTTGCTTTAAAAAATTCCCCCCAAAAAAAATAAAATTACGGATAATAATAAATGTCTAAAATTTTAAAAATGCTGTTTTCTTGTGGATTTGCTGCCTTTTCAGGTGTCCCAGGTGGATTTTAATGCCTTACCAGAAGGGGTGACGTCCCTGGCTCGGGATGGTTGTGCAGCCCTGATGGAGCAGCAGTGTCACAGTGCAGAACAGGCCTTTTCACAGCTGCTCAGCATTCTCTATACTTCCGAATTTAGGGTAAACTCAGAGGGATGACTCGAGTTTTTTGGAGTGATTTTATTTAGAGTCATTATTTTAATCAGTAATCTTTATTATCGAGCTGTTGGCTGCAGTGCCAAGTATTTTGCTGGTAATTGTGCCAAGGATAAAACAGGATAACCCCCCCCAATAATTACACGGGATGTGGTTTTGATGATGTTCAACATAAAATGGGCATTTCTAGATGTAAAATGTGAAAAAAAAAAACTTACCAAAATAATATCTTTATAGGAGTAATACAAGCGACATTGATCAAATAACTGTGCTTCATTAAAAACTGCAGTCTGTTGGTGGTTGGACTTGATGACCTTAAAGGGTCTTTTCCAACCTAAATAATTCTGTGATTGTCAGATTACCCTTTATTCTTAATGATGTAGGGTAAAAGTGATTTTTATTCTTCAAGTTTGATGGCAAATACTGGGAAATTTGGTGTCTGTATGTCTACACCCACACTGACCCAACTGTCAGCCTGGGTTTCCTTAAGTTAATATATAACACTTTGTACAATGTTTTTTTGTTTGTGCTGCCACTATAATTTGACTTTTTTTTTTTTTTTTCCCAGTATATGAATATTCATAATATTAATTATGTCATAATCATTTATGGACATGCCACTGCCCTCCTGGGAATAGGACAACCTGAGGTAGGACATGAAGCTTGGTTTTATATTTAAATACTACTTTTATTCCGACCTCAGTGTCTTTAAAAAAAGGCAAACATTCAGCTCCTAAAACAGGAGACAGAGTTTTGATTTTTTTTTTTTGTTCTGGAAAACAACAAATTACTTTGCTGTTTTCCAGAACCAAAGGCAAAACTCTGGAGCTGTTTGGGTTTGGGTTTGTTTTGTTTTGTTTTTCAGGTTGGTTTGGGCATTTCTTCCTGCAGTGTTGACAATATTCAGTGTCTTAAAATGAATTTAATAACCACCTGGGTGTTTGTAGCTCGAGTTTCTCAGCCACTTAAATCCACTCTTTCGGAGGGAGTCTGTGTTGACAGAATAAGTTTTGTTGTTTTTTTTCTTTTTAAAAAAGAGAGGAAACTTCTGTGATCACAAGGCTGTGCAATTCCATTTACTGATCAAGGAATAGGGCGCCCTGACCCACTGGAATGGGGCGGGGGGTTAAAAAAAAGAGAGGAAAAAGTGGAAAACTTCTGGAAAAGCACCTTGAATTTTGTGTCTTGTATTTCTTTTGAAGGCGTTGGCAAAGGCCGAAGAGCAGTTTAAGAGAATAATTGAAGAAAACCTCGATGAAAGGTGCTTTTGTTTGGCACACTATGGAATCGGGAGGGTTTACCTCAGGCAAAACAGGTTGGTGTGCTGGAAAACCTCAGTATTTGGTAAAAAAAAAAAAAAAAAAAAATCCTTTTCATTTGAGGAATGAAAGGGGGTGTTAATGGGGTGTCAATTATTCCGTGTCAATCACTGAATTCCTCCATCGGGATGATTTATGGAGTTTGCTGCTGCTGAGGAGCAAAGGAACAACTTGGGGGAACAGGGAAAAGGACGGATCAATCAGCTCATCCCTGCAGTCGAGGAGGAGGAGGAGGAGGAGAGGGGGGGGAAAGAGCTCGTGGGAGAAGAACAAAAACCTTTGTTCCCGTGGAAAAAAAAATGTAGCGAAAAGAAAAGCTTAACTTATCTGAGGGCCTGGGGAGGAGCGGCCTTGGGCCGAGACAAGGCGGCTGCCTCAGTGAGTCACCCCCTTCCCCGGGACAGATAACAGCGATGTTTTCCCGTTTTCCCGAGCCAAAACACCAGAGGGAGAGAGGGGGGAGTGTTGAGGTGCAGGGACAGGGCGAGGAACAAACTGAGGGATTTGAGCTGCTTCAACCCGCGGATTCCCGGCGGGGGTTTCCTTCCCAGCATCCCGAATCCAGGAATCGCTGCTGTGGGGGTCGCGATGGTGACAGCCCCGTGTGGCGATTGCCGGGTGCAAACCCTGGGTTGTGATTTTTGGCGCTTCGTGTTACGGCTCTGCCTGACCAAAAATCCCGTCATAAAGCTTGGGGTGGGGTGACCTTGGCTGGCTGGGAGACCTTTATCCAGCTGCGCTCCCTCCCTCAGCACAGGAGATGGAAAAGCTCCGGGGTGGGGGGGTCGAGACAAAGGCAGGGAGATCACTTGCTAATCAGCCATTAGACTCAACAGTGAGGCAAAACAGCTCGTTGTCCCTTCAGATAGAGCTGGATGGTGGGAAACAAAGCGAAACAACTAAAAATCACCTTTTTCTACCCCTCTTTTATTCCAGGCTCGACCTCGCTCCCTCATTCCAGACTCCTCTCCCTCCCGCTCCCCCTGAGCTGCCCAGAGGGATGGGCCATGGGGGGAGGTTTTTTTCCCCTTAGTCTCCCCACAGGTTGTTTTGTCCTTCCTCGTCCCTGTTTTCCCTGAAGTTCTTTGCCTGAGGGGCTCTGCTGTTCCCCCGGGGTGGGTTTGTTGTATCCAGCTGGATCTGGGGCAGCCCTGGCTTCTCCTCAGGGAATGGTCCTCCCCTCCCTGCCCAACCTTGCCTTGTAAAGCCCATACAATGCCCAATTAAGTGAGTTTTGATATTAAACCTGAACCCCTCCTCACGTGGAACATCTCAAAGGGCTGGGCAGGGCGGGTTGGATGCTGAGAGGGGATTCCTGGGTGCAGTCTGAGTTCCAGGAGCTGCCTGCATCCCAGTCCCGTGGTTGTGGCTCTTCTTTCCTTGGCAGTTTTGACCCAAAAAGTTGCCTGTGGAGGGGACAACACCTCTGGCCACCCAGCCTCCCCCAGGCAGAGCTGCTCCCGTGTTTGCACTACCTGAATTCAAGGAAAACCTGTCCCTTCCCTGGCTGAGCAGGGTTGAAAGTCACTCCTGTACACACACACATGTCCTCGCTCTGCATTCCCAAACACTCCCAACATCCGTGGATCCCTGGAATGTCAGCACAGGCTCTCAGTCTGCCTCCTATCCCTGCCTGGATGCTGAGCCCTTTACCTGGCTCACAGCTTGAATCTTTTATCCCAGAGATTCCTTCAACAGGGAATTTAAGGAACCAGGTGTCCTCTCCTCCCACATAACCCTCGGATGCCACTGTTTGCTGCTTGGATGACGTAAAGAATTGCCAAAGACTGTGCAGAAGTTGCTCGCAGAGGACCTGAACAAGCTGTGCCTGTTTCCAACTGCAGATTTGCGCATGCACTCGATCAGTTCCTGAGATCAAAGCTGATGATTGATTTCAAGATGGTCCCTGGGGTGTTAACGTGGCCGGCGACAACTCAGGTCATCGAGGAGACACGGACAGAGAGTTTGCAGGTGTGTTTATCCTCATCCTTGTTATAAATTGAGACCACAGATGATCAAAGTACCAATTAAAATTTATTAATTGCTGAGTAATAGCAAGCGGAATATGAGCAAATGCAGCGCTGGGCGACAGGGGGTTCACCGCCCCACCAACTGCCGCGCAAAGCATCGAAATAAGTCCCTTTTTATGACTTCTTGGTTCCGTTTTCTTGACGTAGCGGTAGTACTCTTGCGCATGCTTGGGCTGTTACTAAGGGGTCTTTTCTGCCTTCTGGTGGTCGTTGAGGCTGAAGTAAGACATCTTCCTCGTGTGTCCTTTGTTTCCCCTTTTGTTCTTGATAGCAATTGCCTCCTTATATGGATTGTCCTTGTAACTCTAAGAACATTTGGCAATCCTGTCTCTTACAAAACTATTGCATAGTCCCTTGAGGTTTAATTAGTCTAGTATTTTTAGCAATAGATACATCCTGTTTGATAAACTACATCTCCCACCTTAATTTATTACACTCCTCCTCCTCTTTCTGCTCCTCCTCTTTCTCCTCCTCCTCCTCCCTGCCTTCCACAATCCACACCCAAGAAAGATGGGGGTGAAACAGAAATGTGGGAAGGATCCCATTAGCAGCATAAGCTCTGTGTCAGGCTCTGTGCTCGGGCATTTCTGTGTAATACAGTTCTGATCTGCTCCAAGCATTTCCTAATTTCTCCATGGAGGAATTTCTTCCTGGAAAGGATTGTTAAGCAGGCAGGGAGGTTTGGAGTGCCCAGCCCTGGAGGTGTCCAAGGCAGGCCTGGCTGTGGCACTCAGTGCTCTGGGCTGGGGGACAGGGTGGGGATGGGGAACAGGGTGGAGTTACTCAGTGTCTGAGCTTGGCTGGACCACCCAGACCTGTTTAATTTTGGGTAGAAGGAGCGGTTCTGTTGTTTCCTAAACAAGAACTGACCCCAGGATTTCTCAGAGACACCCCCGCCCCTCCTTCCCCAGAAATCTGGTCACAGTAACCCACCAGTGGTCTGGGACCTCTGGAGAGCATAATGGGAATATCTGACAGGGTTTACCAGAGGTCTAGTTGGTTTTAGTGATGTTTTAGTGTGAACTCAAGGCCAGCACTGTGGCACTTGCACTGACTTCACATAAATCCACTGGGCATAGATCTGTCCTTCCCTCAGAGAACGTTCTGGGAGGTCTCCCTGGCTCCCCAGGGGCAGGTCTGAGCTATCCCCAGGATTGTACTTGATCCTGTAACGCAGCTCCCAGGTGAGACACGCTCTGGGAAACTTCAGAGAGAGAGCAGGACGCTCCATTTTCATGGAATTATCTCAGTTAATCTGGCTCCTCCTTTCGGCAGCGGAAAACTTCCCGCAGTTGGGATTGCTCAGGGTGTAAAACGTGGGCTCAAGAGAAACCTGCTTTTTTTTATTTTTTTTTTTTTTTTTTTTAATGTGAGGACTCAGCTGACAGCACTTCAAACAAGCTTGGGAATATTTTGGCCATAAAAGGACAATTTTCCGTGGCTTTTCCCTTAGAAAAGAGTTGTTCCTCTGGTGTTTAGTCAGCTGCTTTTCCGAGGGGGGGTTTGTGTCTCCCTGCAGAGCTCCCCAGGAACCTGGAAGTTCATCCTGAATTTTCCCAGATTTCCAAGCAGTTTTGCCTCCCATCCCTGTGTTTCCCTCAGATGGCTTTGAGGAGCTGTATCGAGGAGTGCAAGTTCCCTCCGGAGCCAGACGCTGTCTGTCGGTACCAGCAGTGCCACGGCCACTCCAAAATCCAAATATTTTTCACAGACCCGGACTTTAAGGTACATTTTGAGGGTAAAGGTAAATTTAGAAGGGTTTGAGGAGTAAAACTTGATGGTTTCTAACCCCCCCCCCTTTCATGTTCCCTGCTGTTAAGATGAGCACTGTTTTCTGCTGTGCTTTTCCCTCGATTTTGTTAATTTTCCCTAATGTTTGTCAATAAAATGTGTTGAGTTTTGTCCCATTTCTCATTGTCAGGGTTTTATCCGTGTTATCTGCTGTCAGCAGTGCAGGGTGGAGTTTCATATCAGCTGCTGGAAAAAGCTGAAGACAACAAGCTACAGCGATAAAAATGATAAAGTAAGAGCTTTGGCGGGCCCCAGGCATTTTGATCGAATTTGTCTTGTTGATATTATGCTTTATTTATGTTATTTATGTCATGCTGAATGCAGTTGTATAAAATGCAGGACCGGTGTGAAACAGAAGGGAAATCAGGCAAGGTGTGAAGGCTTAAAAGTATTCTGAAAGTTGATTTTTTGGTTTTTTTTGAGTGGGAAGTTGAAGGAGGGACTTTGGGAATAACAGGGATGTGTCCCAGATCTCCCTAGATTTTTTGATTCAATTTTTTTTTTTTTTAATTGCCTCCAATTAAGAAACTGTGATTAGTGTAAGAGCACAGCGGGTGTGCCTGGATTTTAAATCTCTTTTGTTTTGTGTGTGTCGTTTTCTCCCCCAGGATTTCCTTAAGGAATTGTGTTTTACTCCTGATTGTAAAGGCCTTATTTCAAAAATACTTATTTTCAGTTCTTCTGGTCTGCTAAAATGTGAAGTAAGTATCGTTGTGTTTTATATGAAAATCATCTCTAAAATACTGAGATAAAGCAAAGATGAGAATTGAACTCCAAAAAAAAAATTAAATTGTGCTGTCTTTAACTGTGGAATCTGAACATTATTTAGGAATATCAGTTCCCTTCCAGCCTCTCTTTCCTGCTGATTTGGATGCTCCATCCCAACTTGCAGCAGTGACAGATAATTTTAGTTGCACCTTCAGGGGGTTTATTCCTGTTCTCTTTTGCAGTGTTATTTTGCTGCTTTCCAAACGTTTCTGGGGGTTGGGTGCAGCCAGGTTTGCTTTATAACCCAAATTTAATTAATGCCTTCAATTAATAAATCGAATTCGTCGCTTCTTTTGGTAGTTTGAACAAAAAATCACCAAGCCCAGGGGACCACCAAGGGCCTGTATTAAACAGAAATGTTCAAGGTAAGATCTCTGCTGCTTTAAATCCATTTGAGAACAAAGCAGGGCTCTCTAGGACTGATTTTCGTGCCTTTTTTGAGAGTTGCTAGAAGAACACCAGTCCTTTGGAAAGGCTGTTCTTGCCCTTTTTGATAAACCCCAAAAGTTCTGGTGAGGTACATTCTGATCCAATTACACAAGCACTCAGAATTGTTCCACAGAATTTACTGCCTCAGCAACTCGGTGTGAACGCTTAAAAAGTGTAAATAAAACCTGTATTTAATGCTGTTCCTTCAGTTATTGAGAGGCAACAACTGAGTTTACACTTCTGGGTCAAGTGAGGTTGTAAAAGACGCGGAGAGGAGAAACAAGATGGATTTTTAAGAATTAAGGAACTCAAATGTTGGGTTCAGAACGCCGAGTTATAAAAACACTGAGGTTAGGGGGAAAAAAAAGGAAAAAAAGTGTTAATTCTAATTCAGACATCTCTGATGGGAGTAAAAATCGCTGCATTGAGGACATCTAGACTTCAATACTTGATTTTTTTAAATGAAACTTCAGTGAAATTTCGCGGCCTCCTGAGTGGTGAATGGAAACCCGCCTTATTCCATTTGTATTTTCCAGCCCGCTATTTGCAGGGAAACGGAGCTTTTTGGCTGTTGTAAGGCCTGGCAGATAGTAACTGAGATGTGGCAGATAACTGAGTTAGTGCCAGGCTCGCTGCTTAACGGGCTCTTTTTCAGCATCAGGAAGTTGAAAGCCAAGCAGGAGAAAAAACTGCGGCGGAAACGCGCGCGGGAAGAGGCTCGGAATTCCGCCAGGAGGAAAGCGGAGGAGAAGCAGGAGGGGAAGGAACGCTCCGAGCGCGGTCCCAGCCGTGGTAGGTGGAAGGTGGATGCTCTGATTTCTTCAGGGGGAGGTTGGCAGGGGCTGCCCAGGGAGGTTTGGAGTGCCCAGCCCTGGAGGTGTCCAAGGCAGGCCTGGCCGTGGCACTCAGTGCTCTGGGCTGGGGGACAAGGTGGGGATGGGGCACAGCTTGGATTCGGGAGTGGTTCTGGAGCTCTTTCCCAACCTGAATGGCTCTGGAATTCTGGGGTTCTGAGTGACCACGAGGCAGCAGAACCACCACGCTGAAAATCCCAAGTCCGATGCACTGATATGGAACATAATCCCCCTCTAAAAGACTCGTGTTTTTACTTGAATTTAGTTTTTATTTCAGCTCTGGTTTTTAATTTCCAAATAACTGTTGTTGTTTGGAACTGTTGCAGGATTAAGTTCCTTGCGGAAAACCTTGGTTCTCCCTTGGCTGGTTCGTGCAGGATCAGCCCGAAGTGGGGGCAAAGGCTCAAATTCCAAGTTAAAATTCCTATATAAAAAGGATTTCAGGAACAGCTTTAAAAAGCTGGGACACCTTTGAGGGGGAAAAAAAAAAAAAAGAGGAAAAAACAAAAGGATCTTCTCTAAGAAAGAATGATATCAGTGACTTGGAAAGTGTATTCCAGAGGATTGGGGTAAAATAAAATACTGAAATGTTAAGTTTGTGGGCAGTTAATGCTTCAGCTTCTGCTGGGATGTTGGGCTGCACCGCCCTGTTTCAGAGCTGTGAACATCCCCTGCAGCTTGTCAGGGCAAACCCCAGGGCTAAGAGAAAGGGGGTGATGTCTGAAAAATTAATTTTTTTTTTTGTCTGTGTTATTAACTCAGCATATAATTAACTCCAGTTCCTAGAAGGATTTAATGTTAAATACATATATATATATAATTATTGATGCTCTGTAATTTCAGGGCGGTGATAAAGCAAATAATTATTAACACCCCTGAGTCTGAATCACCTGTACTTTAAAATTGTGGGTTTTTTATTGTGGTAGAGACGTGAAATGTTGTTTATTTTGGGTGGGTTTGTGTTTTTTTGGTTTTTTTTTGATTCCCACTGTAGGTTATGGCCCAGATTTCTCTGCTGGTGACCGGGTCCTGCAGCACCTCAGCCGGAACTCGGAGCAGATCCAAACAGCAGTTGCTGATGCTGCCAAGTTACTGAAGGAATTACTGTCCTGGTTTGTCATCAGCGAGGAGGATTACACCTCATATTCCCAAATCAGCAGCAAGCCCAGGGAAGTGATGGAGCAGCTCCTCAGCCACTTAATCCAGGAAAAAAACCGGGTCAAAACCAGGGGGTTCATCCACGTGCTGAGCCAGCTGGAAGGAGTGGATCCCAAACTGCTCAAGTGGCTGAAGCACCTTAATAACTTGGGTGGGTTCACCTTCATCAGTCAGAGGAGAGGATTTTCCACTCTTCCTTTCCCTGTTTTCCCGCTCTTCCTTCCTTAATTTCAAGTGGCAAAGTCAAGCTTTCCTGGTTTTGCTCCACCTGCTCCCTAGCCAGGATCTCTGGAGGGGAAAGTGCAGCCTAATGTGGGCAGGAGGGAAAGTGGGGAGATATGGAGCAGGTTGATTTTTCTCCTGTTGTCTTTAAATTCCAGAATAGTCTAAAAGGGGGAATATTTGCATAAATAATCAGTTCCTGGAAAGCAAACCCTGGTGGGGTTTTAGTCATTAAAGTTTAGCTGACTGTGCTAAATTTGGGAGTCCCTTGCTGTGGTGCCTTGCTGTGGTTTCCCTGCTGGATTTTTTTAATTGGATGAAGATTTTTTCCAGGTAAACCTTGGAGGATATTTGGGTTTTCCTCATTCTGCTCTGTTGCATCCGTGTCCTTTCAGGGATTTATACAGATTCGTTACACAAATCATAATTTGGTGTTGATTAAAATTGACCTAAACCCCGTGTGTCAATTTTTTGTTTCCATTTTCATGGTACAAAAGTGTTTCAAGCCACTGGATATTTAATTTATGGAACTAAGTGCATCCCTTTGGAGAACCAAAAAAATCTGCAGCTGGAATGAAACGTTGGGTTTTATTTTTGTTGTTTTTTTTGTTCCAATCTCTTTCAGGTCTGACAGCAACAAAAAACTTCCTCCATCAGTACGAGCAGTCACTGCAAGAGCTTGACTTTGCTGTTTTAGCCACCCTGTGGAACCAGAAGTATGGCAGGAGATTTGATTATGTGCCAGCCCCTTGGGAAAAGCAAGAGATTTGGGAATATTTCCTAAAGCCCCCCTTAGAGAAATCCCGTTGTTTTATATGGCTTTTAGAGGACAACAGGGAACGTTTCCCGTCCCTTCATCCAGCTTTGGATGAATTCTTTGATAAAATGGGTGAGTAGGCAAAGGGTCCCTCCTGGACCGTAAATAAGTATTTATTGTGAAGTTTTTTAAGCCTGAAGTTTCTGCAGCTGCATCTTGGAGATGCTTTGGTGGTGTTTGATAGAGGATTATAGCGACAATTCCTGTAATTTCACAGTTTGTAATGGTAAATCAGAGCAAATACTGCCATTTCTGTTAACCAGTGTGACTTTCATCCTTTCAACAGATGACCCAACCATTATATTAAAGAAGCAGGGAAATGAAAATATATCAGTAAGTGAACTTAAATTGGTATTTGGGATCACTTTTTGATGTTTTAAAGAAGTGCTCAAGTGAACAGAGATGTGCACTCGTACAGCCCCATCCTTCAGGCTTGATGAGGGGTTTAGTCTGTTGGTTCAGCTCCCTTTTCTTAAATCCTTTGATATTTGAATTATTTATATTAATAATCATCATCATAATAATAATTCTGAGTGACTTTTTGATTGGTGTCTTGGTTCAAATCCATTCCAAGTGGCAGAAGTATATTTTGGATTTCAGTTAATGACGTGTTCGAGACACTCTCTACAAACCCAAGATTTACTTTTGACACTAAAAACTTCAGAGTTAATTAATTAATGTACATGTTAATAAAATGTGGTTTGTGTTTTTTTTTTTTCCCCCAATTCATTCCATGAATTGGAAATCCAAGAATGAAATGAGAACTATTACAATGGAAACTATTTTTGTTTCAGTGTTATTTATAGCCTGTTAGTAATTACTGTGAGTAATTATGATCTATAATTAAGGTCCTGCTAAGGAGTTAATTAGCATTTTAATTCCTTCATCTTTGAATATCTTGGAAAACTGAAATGATTCCAGATATGCAATTTGGGCTCTGAGTAACGAGTAAGGAGCCGAAAGAATAAAATAACACAATATTCTGCTTTTAAAAAAAGTCAATATTTTGAGTGTTCAAAGAGGAAAATGACGAATAAAACAGGTCAAGCCTTTCAAAGCTCTGGTTCTTTTTGTATTTTCCCTCCTGGGGGTGGAGTGGAGAGAGGGAGAATTTCACCACCTGAATTTTTGGTGGGCAAACCAGAGTGACAATCAAAAGATTTACCTGCTGGTTTTGGAAATGCGGCAGAATTTTATTCTGATTTTTAAAAATAAAAC